GGGGACTACAGGCTCCCGCCACAACACCTGGCTATTTTTTGGTTGTAGTTCATTGTTGTTTGGCAGGCCTGGGCTGGATTTGCACCAGCTCTGTTGTATGTGGCTGGTGCCTTAGGTGCTTGAGCTATAGGCACTGGGCCAGGTGATAGAGGCTTTATGTTGCCCTGGCTAGAGTGCCATGGTGTCAGCCTAGCTCATAACAATCTCAAACTTCTGGATTCAAGTGAACCTCCTGTCTCAGCCTCCTAAAAGAGACCCTTCCCCCTGGGACTGAGGTCCCAAGCTAGCCTTACGTTCCTCACTACTGTGACCTCCTCACTACTATAATGCCCTCCGCTGTTCTCTTTCCCCTTTGTTGTGGGGTCTTTTGGGCTCCTCCTTAATAGATCTTGGTGGCTAGTGTGGATTTCTCTCCCGTTGGGTGGCTAGAGTTTCACTTGGGTCTTATTAAGTACTTTGACTGGCAGCAGTGTGGGTGAGTCAGCTGAAGGTCTTATGAGCAGTCTTTTCCTCCCCTGATAGTGGTAAATGATGGGCAGCATTTACTTTCATGGAGGTTTTTGGCCAGGGCTGGGTTTGAACCCGCAGCTTTGGCATATGGGGCTGGCACCCTACTCCTTTGAGCCACAGGCACCACCCTCATGGAGGTTTTTGTTAAAACAGTTTTTGAGGCTGGGCTCAGTGCCTCATGCCTATAATCCCAGCATTCTCGGAGGTCAAGGCAGGTGGATTGCCTGAGCTCATACGTTCCAGACCAGACTGAGCAGGAGTGAGACCCCATCTCTAAAAGTAGCTGGGCCTTGTGGTAAGGGGAATTCCTTGTGGTAAGGGGAATTGCTTGATCCCAAAGAAATTGAGGTTGCTGTGAGTTATGATGCCACGGCACTCTACCCAGAGCAACAGCTTGAGGCTCTGTCTCAAAAAAAAAAATCATACAGGGTGACAAAGGGTGACAAAATGAGACACTGTCTCAAAAAAAAAAAAAAGAGAGCCTCCTGTGGATCAAGAGGCTAAGGTGCCAGCCACATACACCTGAGCTGGCGGGTTCAAAGCCTGGGCCCTCCAAACAACAATGATGACTGCAACCAAAAAATAGCCAGGTATTGTGGGAGGCACCTGTAGTCCCAGCTACTTGGGAGGCAGAGGCAGGAGACTTGCGTAAGCCCAGGAGTTGGAGGTTGCTGTGAGCTGTGAGCTGTGAGCTGTGATGCTACAGCACTCTACCCAGGGCAACAGCTTGAGGCTCTGTCTCAAAAAAAAAAAAAAAATCATACATTGTACAATCCTTTAACGTGTAGTTCACTGGCTCTTTCTTTTTCTTTTTTTTTTTTTTTGAGGCAGAGTCTCATTTTGTTGCATTTGTGGTGTTATAGCTCACAGCAATCTGAAATTGTTGGGCTCAAGCAATCTTCTTGCGTTGGTTTTTTTACTTTTTTAGTGGAGCTGGGGTCTTGCCCTTTCTTAGGCTGGTCTGAACTCCTGAGCTCAAGCAATCTACCTTCCTTGGCCTCCCAGAGTGCTAGGATTACAGGCATGAGCCACCACGTCTGACCTGTTCACAGCTTGTAGTGTATTTGCATAATTGTGTAACAAACACCACAATCAGTTTTAGAACTTTTTTTCTTTTCTTTTCTTTTCTTTGAGACAGTTTCAGTTTGTCACCCTCGGTAGAGTGCTGTGGTGTCATAGCTCACAGCAACCTCAAACTCTTGGGCTTAAGTGATTCTCTTGCCTCAGCCTCCTAAGTAGATGGGACTACAAGCACCCACCACAACACCCAGCTATTTTTTTGTTGTTGTTGTCATTGTTGTTTAGCAGGCCCTGGCCGGGTTCACCTACTAGCCCCAGTGCATGTGGCTGGTGCCCTAACCACTGAGCTATGGGAACCAAGCCCCAGCTATGTTCTAGAGATGGGGACTCACTCTAGATCAGTATCTCGAATTCCTGAGCTCAGGCAATCCACTTGACTCGGTCTTCCAGAATGCTAGAATTACAGGCGTGAGCCACTGCACCTGGCCAGTTTTAGAAGGTTTTCATCTGCACAAGGAGCCCTTTCCCCATTGACAGTCGCTCCCATCTCCTTACCCAGCCCCTGGTGACCAGGAATTCACTTGCCATCCCTATGGATCTGCTTGTTCTAGACATTTCATACAAATGGAATCTCATTTCATATAAATGTAGCTTTCTGTGTCTGACATCTTTCAGATATAGATATTGTGGTCAGAGGGAATGTGGAGGCTCTAACACCTCTTGATGGGGATGGTTTGGTCCTACTGCCATAAATAGTTGAGGAAATGTGGTTTTCAGTGGTCTTTGGGGGAAAGCATGAGGGAAGGATATCCTGGCCATAGTCTCCAGACTGGTCTGTGTACCAAGGTTCCACCACCTGGTGAGGGATAAGGGGTGGGGATCAGCAGGCCCCTGCTTTCCTGTCCTCCTTTTCTGTTCTGTCAGTGGCATAGCATACTCATGGCACTGGTGGGTGTGTGCTAGACTCTGTTTCTTTTTATTTTTTCTTTGAGACGGGGTCTCCCTATTGTCACCCAGGCTGCAATATGATGGCATTACCACAGCTCGCTGCAGCCTCCAACTTCTGGGCTCAAGCAATCCTCCCTCTTTGGCTCCCAAAGTCCTAGGATAATAAGTGTGCACCACCACACCCAACTGTGGCTTTATTTCTCATTGATGGCTGTTTAGTCAGGCTGCCAGTCCCTGTAGAAGGATGGACCTGTTTGTGGCATTGGCCTTGGGAGTGGTAGTAGCAGTCCACATGTTGCGTCCAAAGACCTAGACCACCTTTCTCTTGGTTTTGACATGTTCTAGGTTTGGGGGAGGTTGTCTGTATGTGGGTTTTGTGGTATTTCCCCACTTTGCAGATGAGGAAACAAGTTGAGGAAGCTCAGTCACTTGCAGTCACAAGAGGACCTCCCTGAGCATGACTCCTGGACTAGACAGGTCTCTGGGAGGAGTTGTAGTGGTCATGTGGAGGTTGGGCAAAGTGCCTGCACTGCCTGGGGTGTGAGTGAAGAACCAGCCAGCCACCAGAGAGGGAACAGGGAGAACAGCTGGGATGGGAGCCAAGGACTCTGCCCCAGGCCTTTTCCCTGCTGCCCTTTTAGGAGAATAGTATGCCAGGAATAGGTTGTCAGCGGGGCAGAATTTCCTGCATGGTCTTGGGGTGTTCCTGGTGGTCCCTGTCTGGAAAGTGGAGTTGGGAGCCACATTAGTAGGAAACAAAGAGAGATTAAGAAGTGGACAGCCTCACTCATTTAGGAAGAAGGGGCAGCTACCCTGGTTGCCTAAGATCAACTCTGAGATCACACGGCTCAACAGCTCTAAACTGTCCCTTTCCTTTTCAGGACAAACATCACGATGCTGCTCATGAAATCATCGAGACCATCCGGTGAGTCCCTGGCACCGGCTGGTATGGCGTGAGGGGCGCTTGTGAGGCAGGGTGTTTTGTAGAGCTGTGACACAATGCCGTGTGACATAGTTTTATGTGTTTTCAGTCAGCTTCCTCTGGAAGTGCTAAGGTTGAGACCTTGAGAGATGAGCGGCAGATATTACCTAGGACCTTGTCCTTTTGTGCCCTCAGCTTGCTTGCGGCCTTTCTGGCTTGCTTACTGGGACTACATCTGCATATGTTGGGCCTACTGTGTTTTTGTCCTTTATTAAGAGTCATATACCAATGGGTGAGGTCAGGGACTTACAAAAACAAAAGGACTCTGACACCCCCATTGATATGCAACTGTTTTAAGGAGGTCATTGACAGTGATTAATATTAGAAAGTCAGGTAACTTTTCCTTCCCCCATAAACCCCACTTGGTTGTGATGTGCTTCTAAATTCAGTTTACTAACCTTAAAGGAGTTTTGTGTCTGTGTCCAATTTCCTTTCTTGTAACGACTTTCACAACCCTTTCTCTCTCTCTGGTTTTGGTATCGGGTCAATGCTGACCTTCTAAAACTCTGAAAATGTTTTTGTAGGAATAGTGTCATGTCTTCTTAAATGTTTGATGGAATTCCTCTTTGAGTCTGGAGATTTTTTTGTGAGGAGGTACTTGATTGGGAAGTGGAAGCTATAGAGGTGTCTATAGTCTCACCTACTTGAGAGGTTGAGGCAGGAGGATCACTTGAGCCCAGGACTTTCAGGTTATAGTGAGCTATGATGGTGTCTCTGTGCTCTAGCTTTGATGACTGTGACAGAGGGCAAGCTGGTCTCTTTAAAAAAATAAATAAATAGGCTCGGCGCCTATAGCTCAACCA